CTATATATAATATATATATATATAATTTTTAGTAATAATTTTGATAATATTGGAAAAGATAATAGAATTGAAAATGAGATATATGATTTTTAATTATAAGCTATGAAGTCCGTTCAATTCCGTTAGTATTCTCATTAAAATCGTGTATAATTGGATTATTTAAAATCAATTTTTAAAAATTATTTCATATTCTATCTTTTATTTCTTTATATAATTTGTTCTTATAATTCTAGAACGCTTGAAATAATGACCAATCGATAACAATCCACTTGTTACAGAATTTCAATATTTAAAATGTATGACATTACTAATAATCCTCATTAACGTTCTTTGAACAATTATCGATGGCTTCGAATAAAGAAAAAAAAAAAAAAAAAAACAGAATGTCTCATAAGAAACATATTTTTAGTTATGGAAGGTAAAAGCAAAAGCCTTATCAGCGTTAAAAAACGAAAATATTTGAAATATTCAAATATTCCACAATCGATAGTGCACGATTCTGGTTTACACTCGAACATTTTACGTCACACGGAAGTAGCCTCTAAGGCAATTTATGGCAAGCCTTCTTCCTCGGATTCCCTCGTATTCTCCAGCTCGAAGCTGGCAGCTTCCGGCGATTTAATTTAAACTTGTTTGTTTGGTGCGTAAGTTTCTTGTCGGATGAATCTCGGCTGTGCCGATGAGCCACCATGCTGCTTATACAATTATGAATATTAATTTTCCATCCTCGCGCAACTACCATCAGGATGACGCGGAAGAAGGATATATTAGATAAAATCTAAAAATACGTATTATACGGAAACATAAAGCAACTATCCCTGATCGTGAAAAGAAGAGAAAAAGAGAGAACAGATAATCGATTACAACATGACAATTAAAAATTGTTGCATTATATTCGTGAACAATTCATTATATTTCACTTGTCAAGCTAATAGATATTTATTATATATCTTATTATATATACAAAAATGATTTTGCTAAAATATAAAAAAAAATTTAATTAGATACAAATTTGAAAATAATTGTAGGATGCTCATATTGTAAAATATAAAAACTTTTTCTCATCACGTCTTGAGTTTCCTATACAAATATTTTTATGCTTTAACAAAATTATTTTCAAATCAGCAAATTTGTAGATATTTCAGCAAAATCGATCTTTCCGTATAGATTAATTTAAAACTTCGCTTACTGAAATATTAAACAATTTTTTAATTATTTCACAAAGTCTCAATTTAAACTTTGACATAAAAAAATCGTTTCAAAATTGAATGAAGACAAATAATTTATAGAGCATTGAATATGCGAAGAACGTATCATCAAATTATTTCGGTATATCCACACAGGATGAGCAATAATTCAGTCTGAGCGTAGATCGGTAGTTTTAAATTTTCAGAAACGAGTGTGATATCACACGTGAATGGCTGCAATCTGTTTGTGCCTGAACCGCCGTTCATTTTCAATCGTCAAATCCGACAGGAATTATTTCGCGCCGATCAATTAAAATGACCCTCCGGTTGTCCTTTGACGAACTGTTGATGGTCAATTAGTCGATGAGAAAATTGAAGGATTTTTCATTTCGTGCGTCGTCCGGTTTAAAAAAAAAAATCTATTTTTGCGAAACGCGGTAGAGTCCAGGTGAAATCTGATAAGCCAGGTACACGCTATCAGATACTCGTGTACGTTCGCTGCATTGCCGAATGGAAACATAACACTCGAATCGTATTTTTCCAATAACCGGGTTAGATCTTTTTTTACAATATTCTTAATTTTCAAAACTTTCAAATCGGAAAATATCTTAGTAATGTCTACTAAAGAATACTATTTAAAAATGTGCATAATATTCGACATATTCAAATTACAAAAAATTTGGAAAAATAAATATTAATAAATAAAATAATATTAATATCTTTTTCGAAAAATAATATTTTAATAATATTGTTAGCACAAAGCTCGACGCTAAAAACGCGTAAATATAAGAGCATAAAGCATAAAAGTTTGATAGCAATTTCACCACATCTACCCTCAAGTCATCGGCACGAATAGCTTTCGCATGTAATTATAGCGACGTATTACAATCTCGCAGGCAAAAGGACTTTTCATTATGATTCCTCTATGTTCCTCGAAATAATTGCAAACGAATTGTTCGCCCCGGGTCGATCTTGCGGCCAAAGAAAATCGCTCGAATCGCAATTTTCCTCAGTCACCACCGTTGTTTCTGGGTTAAAGGAAAATAAAGGAAGCGCGGAGGAATACATATATTTCCTTCCTACCTCTGTTTGTCATGGAGATTAATCGAACGCTGTCGCGACCGTGGCATGTTACCCGGCGCCATGCGATTCGTCGCGTTTCAGAGTGATTCCGGAAGTGGCGTTATTAATGACATCGTGGGGTTGATTGCTTTTCGACGGCAGGGTACGAAACCCCAGCGCTGTTAATCCCCTCGTCCCCATCTTCTCGTTGAAATTCTCACTGTCGCCCTCCTATCCCTTGTAATCGATGAAAAATGTTTCAATTTCGTTTCGTCGAGAGTCCGCTTTCATTTTCGAGTCGAGTAAAAAAAAAAAAAGATCACAGCCAGACAAATCGGATCACGCGCCGGTTAAATATTCGTTCTGCCCTCTTTCGCAGCGAGAAAATATTGATACTGATACATACATAGAACGGAGAAGGAAGGTGGAGGGAAACAGGAATCGAAAGTATCGCGCAGCGTCGAAATTGATAGTCTTTTGCATATTCATAACGCGGATAACTTGTTCCGCGGCTATTCCGAAAATTCGAGACATTCCCCGAGAAAATATTCGATACCTTTTTTTTTTTTTTACGTAATAGTCGAGCATGCGAGTAATTCGCAGTCGTTATTTTACAGGCGAATAAAGAACCTTTACGCATGAAAACCACAGTTTCCTTTTGTGTAAACTGCGTTCGAACGAAGCTTTGATGCGCTATAGAAATTCGAGCTATTTTTATGGAGAGACAGGATGGAGAGAGAGCTCGTTGTCGCTATGGACACAGTCAATTAAAAATATTTATTTTTATCGTAACTAATTATTTCCTTCACGTTTATCTTTCTTATTTTCTCGTTCTCGCAAATAAAGAAGCAACGCCTGCAGCCTGATTAGGCTGTGTATCTCGTAAAAAAAATTCATTCCAGAGAAGAGCAAAGGTCGACGCGGTATCATGCTGCGTCGCGTGCAATTAACGTTAATTGGAATGAGCGCACTCACTGTTAAGCTCTATGACAACGGTGGTGGTGGGTGGCGACGCTAATTGAGTGTTATTCGCTCGGCAGGACAGCTTGGCGTGATGATGCCTCCTCGTGAGAGCTTTCACAGTCACGTTGCTGATGGTTACGACGTTGGTCTCGCCGCCTGGCCCTTGCGTTTCTCGAACCTCGGTAGATGCATGGATGATTTGAGATTCCAAATACCACGAGACTTGTGGTCTAGGTTTACCTGCGCAGATAAAATGAAACTATAGTTAGAAGAGCATAAGCGGAACAATGTGTGGTGTTGTGTTAAAATTGCAGATTAGCTGAGATTTAATTAATCCAAAATGTAGCAACGAGATTATAGTGAACGTAATCGGCAAAATGTATGAAACATATTATATGAAGAATTAAAATAAAGATGTCCTGAGTAATTAAAAATAATAGTTACAAGTAATAATTGTAAATAAAACCACATTGTTAAATTCACTGATTAAATGTCAAATTATACTTAATTTGAGTTATTTTTAATCAGTTTTAGATCATCACTGTTCCTATTCTATATGCCGTTAATTTAACTAAAATAATAAAATTAAACAATTTAACTCTAAAAATATATATATTGGGTTGTTCAGAAAGTTCGTGCCGATTTTGAAGGAAAATTGAAACGCAGATTTAAATTTTAGTATATATTTATTAAATTATATAGATTAGTCGGCACGAACTTTCCGGACAACCCAATATTAAACTAAATTTATTAATGTATGCATTTAATAACAAATACGTTAATATCAATGCTATTTACTTTGAAACTAAGCAATTCAATTATAGAGATGAATTAATTAACCCATGATTGATTTATATGTTTCACATGCTAATCACATATTCTAAATTAAATGTTTTAAATTTTGACACAATTGAAAATTACGAATAAAATATTTAATTTAAGAAATTAGTTCAAAGATCATTTAACACACAGTGTAGTAAAATAATAAATAAAATTAATAAATAAAATAAAATTTTAATAAATACAATTTTTAAAGTTTAAATAAAAAATATCCTAAAAATATTCTAAAAAATGTAATCTATTCCTAATAATTTAATTTCTATGATTTCTAAACATAATCTCTACATAATCTATACATATAAATATCTGATATTGCTAAAATGCATATATAATTATTCAATCTCACTCCAAAATAATTCTTTTAATCGTACACATTAAGAACATCTAATAGAGAGAGAAAGTTAAATATTTCCTCTATTTTCATTATATAATTAGCTGCTAAAGATAAGTTTATGAGTTTGTTCAAAAGCCTTTCAAGATTTGTTAAAGTTCCTTATCAAACTTCAATTAGCACAGCTCGATATTCGACAAGCTCGTCATATTACAACTGTAACAGTCGATTCGAAACTGAAAAAAATTCAGATCATATCGATACTGGCAGGACGACGTCTGTCATTATTTCTCTGCCAATAAGCGAGTCGATAGTGGGGATAATTCGAGTGACACGTCCCAAGAGCCGCGACGTGAATGTCGCCGTCAATCACAACGACGGACGGGTCTCATTCGGCAAAACAACGGTACAGAGGTACTTCACGTCTCGCATTCTCGAGAGACCGCTACCTGTGGCTCACCGCCACCGACTGTTACGACTAATTATGACGAAAGTGCGCGCTGAGGTAAATACGCGCTCGTGGAAACGTATCGAAGGCGCCGCACGTCACTACTGGTTTACTACTGGCTAATTAGCAAGGTACACTTATCGTCTTGGGATGTAAGGAAACTAGTAAACTACCAGACAGAGACATAGAGAATTGTCTGCCAAGAGAGAATATTTGCGAATGGCAATGGTAAACCTGAATCGACAATATATCTATACAAATCAATTCCGACCGAATAAAACCATCTGGAAACCATTTGGAACTGATTATATTATATTTGATACAATTTTAAGAATATTCCAGATAAATTTTGTAATTTTAATATAAAATCGTGCACGTAAAATATTAATTTTATAAAAGTATAAAATATTTTAATAAAATGTTTTTTCAACAGTTTTTCTTACCAATAAAAAAATATTCTAAATTATTCTATTACTATTATAATAAAAAAAAAATTTGTAGATAAAATTTCCAACAAAAACTTTTTATATAGTTACAAATGTTATCTTTTTTTAAATTTTATATAAAGATTTTTAAGTTTATATATTGTACATTATATTTTTTAAAAGAGACTAATTTTAAAATATTAAAGAAATACAATAAATATAAAGCTGCAAAATTTTAGAATTTTAATATTAAATAAATTCTTGATATCGAAGATCGCCTTGTAGCAAATAGTACTATTGCCTAAGCAAACAAGGCTATGTACTATTGAGAGCTTCGGTATAACAGACATACCCGTTGCCTAATCAACAGTTATTCTAGATGAACCATCTATCTATCTAGTTCACAGACAGACTGCCTATCCTAGCTGTCTACATGATTGGATATCTATCCAATCAAAGAGACGTCCGTACATCACGTACACATCTTGTCGAAAGCCATGATCATTGATATTGATAGTTAGAACGTAATAATTAGGAATGGCTATTTGCTCTCAGTTAGAGCTCTACATTAATTATCCAAAGATTGAAATTTGCGCAATCAATGTCCAGTATATATAATATAATGTCAAAAAATTTATTATGTGTTTAAAATTTTATTGATTTTCCAAGATCTTACATTTTGAGACGAAATCTCTTCAACTTGCATATTTATTTTTCAGTTACAAGTTATTTGAACAAAGATAAACGGCAAATATTTGCGATTGAATTTCCTCGTTTTAGCTATCAAAACTATAGCTACGGCAGATGACAGTTTTTATTTTTATATTCAATTTTGAAAAAATTCTCTATTTTACAAAAAGTTTAATTTGAAATTTTATTTAATACGTCATCACATGCTGTTGTTTTAATAACACAAGTATTTGTTTCGTTAATATTGGTATCGAAATAACACGATTATTCCCAATTAGATCTAATGTTGTTAATACAATATAATGCCTTTCCATGTATAACAAAAATTATCAATGCGTGTAAAAACGATCCATAAAATTAAAAAAATAATAGTTGTTCTAAATCAAAACACTTGCATAAAATTGTTATTGTGTCACATCAAGAATTTGAATTGTATGTGACGCAGAACTGCTGATGCAGTTTATTCTACGTTTACCTGCAGCATTGGAACAACTGTAAATGTTTGTCCTCTCACTGTTCTTAATGCGCGGATGACACGGATTTGCGTATTTTGCGAGACAAGCTTTACGATAGCATAGAATAGTTGAAGCTTAAAATAATTTATCAAATACAGAGTACAAATGAGCATAACAAACGAATGCCGGAAGTGCAGAAAGAAACAAACAGGTAATCCTACATGCGCGTTATGGCGGAATATGTATTATCTACAATCGCGTTAATTTCCCGGGCACAATGCACTGAAATCGCATTAATTTCCACAGAGTACGCGTTTATTAAACAATAACCAGGAAATGAACAGACTCCCCGTCGTCGAAGCTACTCTGCGCGTTCAGGAAATGCGTCTATTGCGAGCTGAATGACCCGAGGAAAGCTTTTAATTAATACGTACAATAATAAGCAGTGCATATGTATCGAGATGTCAATACAAAAGTGATAATTTCAAAAGATATTTCTCAATGCGTCAATTCATAATTTTTTTTATAGATTTATTTTTTATATATTACATTTTCATTGTTTTGTTTTATAAATTTTATAAATTATAATCTGTTTTTTTATGAATTTCATTTTATTTTTACATGAATAATTAAATGTATAACTTTTATATGAATTATATGAATTCACTAATTTTGTAAAATATTAAATAGAAAATTCAAAATAAAAATTAAAAATTCACCGGAAAAATCTTTTGAAATGATGGGGAAATTTCGATTTTAAAAGTACTGCTCGACGAGTTTCGCAAAGAAATTGTCATCGTAACTCATATTCGAGAATAATATCGTACGTTTTCGCGACTTCCTTCCTGTCGCGACGGCACTTCCGCATTATCTCGCCGCGAGACCTTGTCTTAAAAAGAGGACGATAATAAGCGCGTTCATTAAGTCCTACACCATAATTAATTCCGCCATCGAGACCACCGCTTCTATTGTTCCCTGTGGAATAATTTCCTGTCGCCCCACGGGATACAAATATATTCCGTCGGTGGTACTTCGGAGGGCTTTTGCCCATCCGTTTCCTTGCGTTTGCCAGTGAACTCGCTTTAGAACGAATCTCTCACAGACATAATATATGAAACATAGCGTGTAGTGAGTGATCATAAGTTCTCTCTCGAGAAAGAATATCAAACATCAATAACTTAATGAATAAGTTAATGAAAACTGAGATCTCCTTGCGAATAAAACTTTTCGCAGATGAAGCGGAATGAATTTTTCTTTATTTCTAATGATCGCTGGATATTTATTATTTTTACTTTTGTTTCAATATTTTCATTATAGAATGCATATATTTATAAGTACTCTTTTTATTTGACTGTTTTAAAATTACATTTATGCCAAATAATAAAGTGGCGCAGATTATTACGGTTATTACGACTTCTGTGCTGGATCGCGCACCCAGAAAACCTCGTATTAAAAGTCGTCGCGAACTAAACTCATTATCGTGCCGTACCTTGTCGCGGCACTGTCGCAGCGTATTTTTATGACGTTACGGCGTTTTAAATACTGTAACACCGCGTAAACCGCTGTAACAGCATCTCCAGGATCGCTTTCGCTTGTTCTCGTTAAGAAACGTAAAACAACGGTTCCGAGTATATTTGTGCAGATACTTTCGCGGCGCGAATATCTGTTTCCCGGGCGTTGCCTCATCGTTTTACGAGTTTCAACCCCAATAACTTTTCCGCTGAACAACTCGCGCGATACCGTGAATATCGCGATGAAACAAATGGAAGCAATAATCACACAAAAGTTATGAGAATAAATGCGCATTATTGTGGATTGTATCATCGTTATTACGTGGGAAAAGGTGTATCAAATTAAAACCAATCAAATTAAAACGGATAAAAAAGTAATCCTGTAATAAATTACGAATAAATTTAAATTTACACAATACGGAGAAAAATGATTGAATCATTTTTTATCTCACAAGGCTAGTAAAAATATTGTAGTTGTTTTTGTCGAACTTACTGACAAATTTTACTTGATTGAAAAAAAATCGGAACTGTAAAATAAAA